CGCATAGATGTTTGAATGAAAATGAATCAGCGTTTATGAACACCGCGAGACCGAAATGCATCGCAGACTTATCACCGTGTGCCAGGTTCAGAGGAAAGCCGCGTGGCGCCGCCTGCGTCGCTGGAATGACCGAATGGTGTCGTGTGAGCGGCATGGACACACAAGAAACGCACTGCAGAAAAAACAAGCAAGCAAGCAAACATACGCGCACACGACGGCTGCATGATTTAAATACTCGCGTCACGGAATGCCATATGAAAATATTCGAAGAATGACAGATGAAAATATTCGCTGCGCCACCCGCTATGGTAGCTTAGTGGCTCATACTTGTAGTGACGCTAAAATTGGAGACGTGGATTCCATTCCCAGCCTCGGAAGCCGCATTTAGACGTGATGGTGGAATGTAAAATCAGCCGTGCAAGTTCAACTTTGGTGCACCTCGAGGAACCCCCTGGTGATTGAAGTTAGTCTTTAGACCACATCATGCATATTCGTGTCTTACTGGAATGACCAGCAGTGTGGCATATTAGATCTGCGCCTGAGAGGAAACGTTCAAGCACATTCAATGCCACTGGCCACCATAGCCGACTTAACGACGTGGTACAAAAGCCAAGCCCCGTCACATGGATTCAAGATCATTGACAGAGAACAAAAACAATCCTGGGAGCATGACTTAAGGTCTCGCATAGGCTACGAAAGCCCTCTTCTGCTTCTTGAGGCCCACAGCACTTCACGAGCGCTTTCAAACTGCGTGAGTTCGTGTTTTGTTGGGGGCCCGTCACTAGGTCGGTCGGTCGGTCAGTCGATTGGTTGGTCGATAGGTCGGTCGGTCGGTCGGTCTATATGCCGAACGACCAACCGTCTTCAAACGAGTCTCCGTGACTCTTTTAAAACTCCTGGTGTACCATGCATATGAACACGTTAACTCTCTTACGGGTTCTATGACTCTCCAGCGAGAGCACAATGTTCTCCAATAGGAGTACTGTGCCCATGACACCAACTTTGCGAAGGTCACGTTTTTTAGCGTCAACGCGTAGTTATCGATCACGTAATAATGATTCGGTACTGATAACGCAACACAGGGACGAATTAATATATGCAATATTGATTAGTAGACCAGTATCGAACCCCGTTCAAAACGGCTGCAAGGCTCTCCGATTTCAGCGCTGCCAACGCTGCCAAACTCTCACTTCCTGTGGTACGGCTCCATCTGATCACGTGGCCACAGGAAATGGTGACGCGATCTTCACTTGACATTTCGTCGGCTCGGCGTGCACGTGTATTGCAGTGCATGTCTTCACCACCCTCATTGTCGTCGCAGCCGTCATCAATGTCCACAAGTGACGATGAAATCACTGAAGAATATGGAATCGCGGTGGATTACTAGAAATAACATCGTCTTGTGATCTGGGGTTCATCGATACGTCCCCGCTGACTTTGGTTGCCGAGACAGGAGGGTTACGTCGGACCCGGTCTCCATTTGTTAGCGGGGAGTCTCTGCGGTGGTGGAAACGATGACAGCAAATCGGAAAAACGAATACAGACAGACTTATGGGCATTTTCTACAACTATTTACATCATAAACAGGTTAGAGTTGAGCAAGCCACGGGCGGGGTTTATAGACCTTAACCCTTGATTTAGAGCGACTTCTTGCACTATGCATCCTGGTTTTAAGCCCTTAGTGGACGAAAAAACGTGGACGAAAAGATTACCCGCCACAGGAAAAGGCCAAACGAACGACTTTAGAATAACGCGTTCGATGTATACTGATCTGCAGGGGTGGTCGTCACCCCGTCCATTTTATATATATCGGCCTTTGAACTTGAAAGTCTTAGCACTGCTAGTAGCCATGACCACGAGTGAGGCATCAAGTCGGCCAATGAGACAGTCTTTTTGTATGAATGAAAGCATTTGAAATCGGAGGGCTTGTTTTTCTTTGCTGGGGCACACTGTAACCATTTCTGGTGGCATTACTATAATCTGTCTCAAAAAGAGGTGATTTACTTCAGAAAACAAAGTTTTTGAAATGTGGCACAAGAATGCACTCCCCCGAAGAGACAGCCCCGCCCTCTCTTACGTTCGAGATGGCAGGATAATTATGATATATAGGATTTAACATCCCGAAATCCCGACATGGTTATGAGAGACGCTGTAGTGGAGGGTCCCAGAAGTTTAGGCCATCTGGGATCCTTTAAGGTGCAGTGGCATCGTACATTATATGGACTTTTACCATTTCGCCTCCACCTAAACAAGACCGCCGCGTCGGGGTTGAACCCGCCACCATCAGGACAGCAGCCGAGCACCTTAACCACTGCTCCACCCCGGCCAACATTACAGGGCAGGTGATATGGAGGTAATCTTCTGTTAGATTTTAAACAATCACGCACACTAGAAATCGCACTAATAAGACCGAGAAATAGGTTCGTCACACCTCAGCAAAAATTCTGACTTGTACGTTGTCCTACATTTCCGTCCAAAATATTAGAGATTGCCTCACCATTCCGGTTAAAAGAGACCTGCGTTGCTTATACGTTGGACGTCAGGGTACATTGAAATAAATTTTTTGATGGGATACTTGAAAAATAGCACATTAGTCGTATTTATGTGTATGATGTCTCCTCGGCTTCCAAGTGTACGATGTGGTGACAATCGAAGCGTCCGGCATCCATAAAAGTGTATGGGTCCCAGATCAAATTATAGACGTTGACCCCGGTTTAGGTGGAATCATCCGAGCTTGCTGAGTGAAATGCTAAGATTGAATGTTTCTAAGAAGACCAGGGTAGAAATTGTTACAGCTCGAGTTGTGCAGCTCTACTGGGGGGAAGGTGTATGCAGAAAAAAAATCACAGCATATTCACAGAGTGAATGAGTCGGGCGAAGCGTCTGTCCGTTTCTGCCCACGTGTCCGTCCGTCCATGCATGCGTCTGATAGCGGTGGTGAATGCAGACGGCGTGCGGCTAACACCGACGAGACGCGAGCCATGGAAGCCGAGCGCAAGCGTTTTCAACACGCCCGCCACTCTACTTCGTCCATGCCCCACCAACGATCCGCCACGTACGGCGACTATCCAGGAGACTGAGGGAGGCACTCCTTCCTCGCGCACCCAGGCAGAACCCGCGGATCAGCCAATCGGAGAATAGCGGTAGAGCGCCATCTAGAATATCTCCCCTCAACTGCAGTTTGTATGTGCTACTTCTATGAGAAAGCGCCGTCTATTTTAATGTTCGGGAGATACTGCCTTCTTTTTTTTCTCGTCTCTTTTTCTATCGGTTACGTGTGACGCATGACAAGGTCAGACTAAGAGGAGCTTTGCTCCTAAGAGATGTAGCAATATACACGTGCAGGCGAGCACTGCAAAATAAGAAGTTCGAACCATGAACGACGTTCGGTTTGGTTTCTTCTCTGATTCACATACAAAGCTGGCATTTATAGTTTTGTGTGGTTCGATATTGATGTCAGAATTCTGACATGCGCCCTGAAAAATGTAACAACGAAAGTTTAAGGCGAGCATTCTTATTTATCTGCCGATATACGTTGACTTTAATTCAGGTAATATTGGCACATACAGGCAATCTAAGTGAACGCGCAGACTTCTGAAGAATGCGATTTCAAAAAAGAAAAAAAAAACTTCACTTACTGAAAGTGGAGCCGAGCAAATAAATAACGTGAAATTGGGCTTATCGCGTGAATCGATTACAGTAGGAACGATCACTATGGTGCAGTAAAACGGGAAGCTGTTCCTCAAATATGCAACAAAGCCCATGAGAGTTTAGGTTATTTACATCGTACGCTACGGTTTCCTACGAAACTGTTGTTCGCCCAAGTCCTGAATTTGGTAGTGTGGTTCGGAACCACCATAAGAAATGTGACATCAAAAAACTATAATCCGTTGAAGAAGAGTGGTGGGCTTTATATGCAAGAGATACGACAGGGATTTTTCTCTAACGAATTTCCTTTACCAACTATGTCTCACTACACTTGCGAAGTGTCATCACATTGAATGCCTAAAATTTCTATCCAATTTAGTCTATTCTTTTCAATTCGGCACTCTTGAATCATATCTGAAATTTTCCAGATGTTTGTCCATGACGAGTGACCATGTCTGTAACATTAAACTTTGTTCACCTGCACTGACATACTCAAATACAGTTTTTTCCCTTCAACTATGGAAGCCTTGAATAGGCTGCCCGGAAGTGTTCATTGTCTACCACTTCGAGAACTTCGGAGAGCCTATCTGTTCATGGGTGTTGATTTTTTCTTGTTTTTTGTTTTTTTCTCACTCCTGCAAAAACCTCATTGAGGCTGGAGCATGTAAAAATAAATGAAATAAAACAAATACGCCATTCTTTACGGATAAAGTTTTTATGATCAAGCTCCGTTATGTGTCCTCTTAGATTGTGTAACAAGACCATGCTAAGCTTTGTTCTGTTATTGTTTCATTTCTGAAAACATTTGCGAAAAATTGAGACGCCAGGCGGCGTGCGTGGCAAATTTTTGATTAGGAGTGGATGCCCCGTTCCGGGCATATAGCCTATATCCTCGGCTACCGATCCTGCAAGAATTCGGGACAAATAAAGTTTTATTCAATTCAATCAAGAAACATTAACTGCACGACTTGTCTGGACTTTGCTCGAGAAGCGTCCAGTGACGATGGCTTACGCTTCAAAGCACCGCACAAGCGTACCCCACTGTACCGAGAACACACAGTTTTCAAATCAAGAGCCCGGGCGAGCACCTGCGTTCCCACGCAAAACACTTTCATCTGCCCCCCTGCTCCGTCGCTCTCACGGCAAGCTTCAGGGAAAGCCGCTGCTGTTGCGAAGAGAAAGAGATGAAAACAAGCGTGGCCGCAACAACAGCAGCAACGGGCGTCGGCGGCCTCCCGTCCGATACCGGATCCCAGGAGCGGTCGTTCGCCAACAGCAGCGCCGTCGGCTGCCAGGCGCATCACGACGACGACGGCGGCGAGTGCGCGAAACGCCGACGACCGAGCTCCCCGCGGCCACCGACAGTAGCGAGCGAAGCGGCACGATCAGTCCGCGCGCGGCAATCGACAAGTGCGGTCGCGCTCACAGCCTCGCGCCGGAGCGGCGGCGTGCGTGTTTGTGTGTGCGGTGAGGTGTGTCTACGAAAGGAAGGGTGTGCGTGCGTTTCTAGAGTGAATCCAGTGTATTCCAGTTGTGTGGCAAAACACGCATGGCTGGCTTGTTGCAGCCTCCTACTGCCGTCAACGGCAACGCCGGCGGAGCCGGTGGCCTATCCGCTCCCAGCAGCCCGTCCCTGGGAAACCGACTCACCGTGCCTGGGTCCCAGGGACCGCGCGACCGCAAGTACAGCCTGCCGCTTCAACTTCAGCGGCGACCGTCGCTGTCCGGCTACGCGGCTGCGGTCGAGTCGGCTCGCGAGGATGCCCGCCGTCGCAAGTTCAGCCAGGTCGGCCAGGTGGTTTCTCACCGGCTGTCCACCACCATCGGCTGGAAGGTGTACACGGTGACCACCCAGGAGGTGGCTGACCAGGCCAAGAGCCTGTGCGGCCGCTACCTACGCGCCAAGCTCAAGCAGTGCGGTGCCGTGCACAAGAAGCTGGGCCTTCAGCGGCTGCGCAGCGTGAGCAACATTAGCGTCGGCTACCCGACGTCGGACGTGGCCCAGAGGCTGCGGCTCGTGTGCTCCGAGTTGGAGAGTTCGCACCCGGACCTTTACCAGGTGAGTGGAGTTTACCGACTTCGAGAAACGCGCCCTTTTTCTCTGGCACGCACATATCTTGTGAGCCGTTGTGAAAAAGAGGCATGCGCGAAATCTACTCACGGGAAACCATTGCTTCCTCCTATATCAACGGATAATCCCTTTGAGCGGTTCGTCTTCGCTGCCAAGGAGTACAGGAAGATATCTTTATTGGAGGAAAGTGCCTCCTATTTGGACAGTCACCGGCGAATTGTGTCTTGCGGAGTACTTGGCGGTATAGTTGCTAGGGAATCTTCACCTTACACAATTTCGTTTAACAAGTGGAACATTGCGGAAAATATCGAGCGCAAATTGTAAGGAGAACTGCGTGCAAGCGCGACAAAAAATTGAACAGGTCATATTTATTACTATTTTTTTGTCGGTGAAACTTCCTTTTAAAAAATATACCCAACTCACACGAAGGCTTCTCTTGATGCATTCACGACATTTATTACTCGAGCAATGCAAGGCTACCATAGTAACGATTGTTAGAGCGCGAGATCCGAACGACGACAAAGGGACAAGAAAAGAAAGTAGCGAGTCAGCAGAATATGCTGGTACTAGGTGATTATTACACACTATTATTGTCACATGGATACTCATATATACTGATGCTCACTCCAACAAATTACAGCCTGTACGCACTCGTACTTTCCGATATCGCTCGCGTTTAGCTAGCGGTTAAACTGCTCACACTTACTGGCAGCAAGCGAGCTCAAATCAGTACTCACTGCCACTCGAGCACGCGAGTGTGAGCGGACGTATCTCACAGTTACGTCAAGTCACCATTTTGAGTTATACAGTGTATGTAGTTAAGTTCAACACCATGTAATTGCGCCTGTATTCAAGTAAGCGGCTTAAACTCCTGGCCTTACCGCCACTTCCTTGCGTTCCTGTGTTCCTTCCGAACGAACGCTCTTTTTCACTTCTGCGAAATGATGCTGCGAGTAGTGGGGTAAGCGTAACTGTGAAAGCATGTAGAACGTGTAATGCCACTTGTTAAGTGTAAGACGTTTGATCGTAGTTTACTCGCTCCACATCGCATTTTGCGCGTAAGTTTCATCTCCCATATCCAAATGACCAACGCTGTACGGCTTCCGTATTACGATCCACTCAGAAGAGAGCCGATACAGTAATTGTCTACTAAACACACCAGGAGGCGCATCCAGAATTTTTTCGCAGCGGGACCAAGGGTCCGACCCTGCCTTTATGGACGTGTGTGTCTTTGTATGAGCGTGCATAGAAAAGACAAAAATTTGGAGAGGAGGGCCTGGAAACGCCCCATGCCATAATATGGCTACTGCACTGATTAAAACACTCACGAATAACTTGCTCCGTCAAATGAACGCACAATTCTCGCTGGTTCTCTCTGACTCACAACTGCATGATCCACGTGATGACACCTACACATTCGCGAATTTTCAAATACACGCTTGCCATTCCCATGGCTTCTAACTGTCTTTGAAATCACATTCCGTAAAACCTGAAAAATTCTATAGCTTGCCCCGCAAAACAATCCAAATTCTTTTCTTAATTCTTTGAAATTCCGCTGCGGCTTGAATCAAAATTCATTTTTTTCCTCTCTTAGATTGCAAGTGTTTCACAATTTTCTCAGAGCACTCTCACTCACCTTGCATACCGAATAAAAGGAATTAGATTAGTCTCTGTGTTATCGTAGTCGTTATGGTGCACTCGCTTAGAGACCCGGAGAACCGAGACGCGCGGATTTATTCGCACGTTTGAATACGCCATATGTGCGAACCACAAAAACGTTTCGGTCAGCAAATGGCATTCAATTTGTCTACTTCTGTCAACTGGAGGAGATTGTATGGAGATACAGAGATAGAGAGAGCGAGAGAGTCCTCTTGTGACAACAAAATAGTGAGACAGGCGCAGTCGAGCTTAGGTGTCGTCTGTGCGCTGGACAACACTGCTTTCTGCTTGCCGTGTACGTTAGCTGGAGCGCTCGCTCTTCCCGGCACAGTTTATTCGCGGCGAAACAACTCACGCAGGAAACGTGTTTTAAATCCTACGCAGGCTGTCATCGGGCATCCAAGCGGCTTTGTCGCGTCACGAGGTTCATGAATGCAGCTGCGAGCTGCCCTCGGCGAGTCACCTGCGCTGTCGAGAAAAGCGCGGGAGTCATATAATTGGACCACGCTGATGTTTCCATTGTTTTTTTTTGTTTCTTGTTTATGTATATCCAGTAGAAATAATATAAACATTGCTGCTTCATCTCGTTTTAGCACAGTATTTATTACTTTTTCTTTGCAGTTTTAAATACTCGCGAGGTGACTGGCGGTACACTTATTGTTTTTTAGTTTTTTAGATGCGGAAGCATCTTATACTCGCGCCTTGTAGTGCACCGTCCGCGCCGTCCGCACCGCTTCTCGAACATTCGACAGCTGACGCGCGCGCATGCGCCGTCGCGCCGTCGCCCACCATCTGTGCCGCGCGCGCTTCTCCTTCGAGAACATTCGACAGCTGACAGCGCATGCGCCGTCGCGCTGTATATATACTCAAGGTCGGCGCTCGCTCGCTCAGTTGCCGCTCGTCCATTGGTTTGTACTCACTCTTTACTTTACCGACCACAAAGCCATCGTCCTCAAAGTTCGTCGCAATAAATAAAACACCGCCCTTTCGCATACGTGCCGTACGTGTTCACTCACTTAACACCCCATTTCACAACCACGTTAACCAATTTAGCCATCGACCCAAGTAAGTCGCACTTTAACACCCCATTAACCAATTATATGCTCCGCATCCTCCTCAGTGTTCCCCCGAGGGAAGCTGCGGGCAATTTTTTCTTTTACGGTGAAAGCTGTTATGAGTTCACAACTCGGGTCACGAGCAGTCGTCCGCAGATGTCCGTAAATACATAGCGTGAAATTAAAAAAAAGAAAAACCTGGCACCAACGACAATGTTGGGCTCGAAACCCGGGTCTACTCGTTGCCAGCCCAGCATTCTACCACTGAGCTACACCGGTGCTTGTGACTTGTTCGCAAACCTAGCACCAAACACACAGGGGGCTTGAACCCAGGTCCACTGGATGTCAGCTCAGTAATCTACCACTGAGGTACGCTGGTGCTCGTGACTTGTTGGCAAACTTGCCTTAGGCAGACTTGTAGCCGGGAAAGCAATCGCGTCAATACGACTTACGAAGCGTTTTAAAACAGCGAAAGAACAACCAGTCGTCGCACAATGCGATTAGCCTAACGAGTGGGCCGTCCGATGCTACAACCCATTGCAAAAGCACGTTTTCGATCACCTATTTACTTTCGCGGGTACCCACTTCAGGCATAATTTCTAATCGTCGTCAGCCACTGCATGGACGATTGGCACAAAATTCCTAGCAAGTGTTAAGCGAATACCACGCTTTTCAGAAGGACGACGAGAAATAGCATAGCGAATTCCGGCCTACTACCCAAAAGTTTATTATTATTGCCCTTGTGGGTACCAAGCAAGTGTACTTGCAGTAGTTACCCAATGAGTGTTTAGAAAAGGCTCTGAAAGGCCACTCTTCCACCTTTCGCTGTGACTGTGCTGCGCCTACCGCGCAGGCCTGGCGTTTTTTACGTCAGGCGCTAATGCGCACTCGACAGACATACTCTTTTATTGCCACCGGAAAATTAAGCGACTGGCTCCCGGAGTTTCAGTATGTCTGGCCGCATTGACGCTCTAGAAATACGTGAACTTCAAAAATACACATACAAGTTTTCTTCATGTATGGCGTCTAGGGAAGACTTTAGAAATAAAAAAAATACGTGAACTTCCTTCCTTCCTCCACTGCCGCCGCCTCCTCGTCCTCCATAAACTGTCCTCTTGGGTACATAGACATACGATTCCGAAATAATTTAACAACGCGGTAAGCGTTACCTGCTGGCAGACAGACAACGAGCTTCAATGGATCCTGGTGTGTTATATACAGACAGGACCACCTAATGTGAGGCCATTGTAACCGCTTGCAGCACCCATGTAGAGGTCAGTACGCCATGACACTCCACCCTTTCCTCTGCCCTCTGGTTAGCCTGGGCTTGCTTTCAGGATACCGTGCTTCTTATGGCCTCCTCCCATTCGGCTTTAGTTTTTCTTTTGACTGGTATTAGTTCAGCTTGTTTGCTTGCAAAAGCTGCTGGGGCAATGATAACAGCAGTAGTATCAGTACTACTACTACTACTACTACTACTACTACTACTACTACTACTACTACTACTACTACTACTACTACTACTAATAATAATAATAATAATGATAATAATATTATTATTAATAGTATTAGATTTACAGAGATTATGGAAAACAGACACAGTATCAAGTCAAGTCTGTGGTGGTGCACTGAGGGTTACGAAACAATAACACTGCTATTCACCAGCTTGGAGAGTGCAAACCCCCGAAGAAGTTCATACATATTTTTTTAGAAACTAAGGTTCTAGTTTCACGAACAATTTATGAATTTAGCCTCTACCCCACCCGAAGAACGAGTATGTTCTGTGCGTCGTGCATTAAATTTTGGGAGAACTTTTTCCACTATAGTTATCGCTGATACTACTGCTATGGTAACGCGATGGGAAGATGACTCATGAAAATGCCATACGCTAGGTTTGTTAGTACGAGAAAGTTTCAGATAATCTCGGTGGTGAGCATATCACCAGTGATCACTATTGGGTGTATTGTGAATTCCGTTTCTCGTTCATAAACAAACAAAGAGAGAGAGAGAGCTAGCTAAGCGAGGAAAGGCAAGGACGTTAGCCAGCCGCACGCATAGTTCGCTACCCTGCATGGGGGAAGAGATGAAGGGGAGAAAAGAGGAATAGAAGGCAAAACGGAGATAGAGAAACACGCGCTGAGAAGCACATGCACAGTGGAGCGAATTCAAGTGGCGGCAGAGACCTGTAATCTGTTCAACGCCTTCGCGGCCTTCCACGTCATCGACGCACGTGGTCCAGGAATCTTGTCTACTGAAAGTGCTGTCAAGTCCAGT